CTTCTTTTTTTCTTCCTCCGACCGGCCTCCACCACTGCAGCAACTAGCTCACGCCACTGGCTTCACCGCCTCCAGTCACATCGCGCACCATCAGCTAGGCCGCTGACTCTCTCCACGCCAGGTAATTATCTTCTCCCTGCTCCACCTTTTTCCTTCTTTGTTCCTCATAGCCACTGCATGCAAAATTCATTTCTGCATGTAGTGGCTAATTAATTAGCCATCTACTTGGGCCAGGCTAATTCTGGCCCACCCTAAGAGGCTGGGCCAAGCTCGACCTAAACCCAAGAGTCTTTGGCCAAAATGGCCCAACCCATTTTGGGTCCATTTTGGCCCACTTTTCATGGGTTGAGCCTGGCCCAGCCCACAGGTTTTTAATATTTAATAATATTATATTATATTATATATATACATATATATATATATAAACAAAAAAAAATCATTTCAAATTTTTTTTTTATTTTCTTAAACATTTTTCTGCCAAGTTTGCTTATTATTGGGTTGTAACAAAAAAAAAATTCAAATTGTTTTTTAAAAAAATCATTTCAATTTTTTTTTATTTTCTTAAACATTTTTCTGCCAAGTTTACTTAATATTGGGTTGTATACTTACATGCTAAGATACAAGTCCGATATTAAAATAACCGGTTTTCACTGAAATGTTCAAAAAAAAAATCAAAAAAAATATATAAATAAATAAAAAAGGAAAAAATGTTTTATTGCATACGGCCAAATCCTAAAGAATTTTTCAAGCATGTTTCAAAATAAAAAAATTACATCTTTCTCACGACTTAAAAATAAAAAAAAATGGATACCATAACTAGTTTATGATTATCCGTTAAGGTTTGCCCAAAATATCAAAAACTTTTTTTTCTTTTTGACCCCTTTTAGGATTAAGATGTAGACTTTAATATTCGTGGGGTGTAAAATTACACGATAAAGTACACCCTCGGGTATTAAAGATACAAGGTGTAAATAAAGACAATTTTAAAATTCGGACTTTAGAATGGATAGGATTTAACCCAATAAGGTAGAGACTCCCTCATGAAGGGAGATCTGCCTTGAACCTTAGAAAAGACCAACAAATAGAAATTTGACTTAGAAAAATAATCAAACAACAATGCAGCTTACCTTAGGTAGGGTGCACTAGAGGTGATGTGTCTTCCCCTTGCACAACCAATCCCTTACTCAGACTCTTGCAGACCATAGGTTCCTAGTGACCATAATATTAGGTGGCGACTTCAAAAGAACCAAGCAAAACACAAATAATAAACAAAAAATTCGCTAGCCGATGTCGCGTGGATTTTTCCGACGTGCGACAGAATGGCGACTCCACTAGGGACGCCCTGTTTGGTTGAACTAAACTTTGATTGTTTGATTATCCGTTTTGGTCTGTTTAATCTTATTATTTCAATACCTTTATTTCCTGTTCATACATAAATACATGCATTCATGCATTTTTTTGGCAAGAAAACCCAATTCTAGGATAGGAGGGGAGTAGCGATCTGCCCCATGACTTTCAGTCGGGGTACAGATTCGTGAAACATCCAACTATGAACTGAGTGTTTACTTGGTGATGACGATCACATAGTGCCTCAACCATCCCTTGTAAACCCTCATACTACCTTCACGTGAGGTGGTCACTGGGCAGTTCATAGACCTTTTTTGAGACCAGTTAGAAAACATATCCCTCATATAATAACCTAGAATTTGTCTGAACTTTACAGGATTTTTGAGCTAAGACCATGACTTCCTTTACCTTTTCAGAATACAGGGAAAGATCTGAGATGATGCAGGTAGTCGAAGGGGATTGCCCAAGAACCAAGGTTGAGGAATTACCACACATAACTAAAGTGCACTATTTTGTAGACACCATAAAGAAGTTGGCCCCTCTTCTGGGATATATTGATGAGAATCTGTTTGAGAAGAAGTATGAAAGAATTGCTCATCTAATAAGGATGCCTGTTCAGATTTTAACAGTCAAAGCCTTAATGTATTTCTGGGATCCAAGCTACAGATGTTTCACCTTCGGGGATATTGATATGAATCCTACTCTTGAAGAATATGTTCAGATCTTAAGTTTTCCGAATGACCCCTACAAAGTGTACTTCAGACAAAGAATTGAGAATACAACTATAGCAGTTGCCAAACTTCTACATTTGGATCAAATTGATCGGTACAAGATATCCAATGGAGGTTTCAAGTGGAAGATGATCGAGAGTAAATTAAAGACAGATAAGGAAGAAGGGAAGTTAGGTGAAGAAAGATATTAGATAATTGCTTTTACCATCTTTGGGTTGGTTTTGTTTCCTTCAAAAGCCGCTAGAATTATTAGCATTGAAGTTGCTAACGCCTTCCTTGAATTTGAAGAGGTAAAGAATAACCCTACTTCAGCTATCTTAGCTGAAACCTTCTTATCTCTAAACCATTGCAGATTACATGGGAAAGGGGCGATGCGATGTTGTATCCCTCTCTTATTCATGTGGATAGTAAGCCATTTGGAAGCATCAAAAGAAGTCTTTAATAATTTCTGGTGGTTTAACATGAGGCCTCTTGAGCTGGTGCTAACTGAAGAATGGAATGGTTTGGATGAAAAGGCGTGGATAGAGAAATACCGAGAACTTCCCCAAACTAATTTCAGATGGAAAGCTCCTTGGGTAAGTGGTTCGTCTTACCTCATGAGTTGTGGTGACAAGCCATGGGTTCCATTGATTGGCTTAACTGGATATATTAGTTACTCACCCTCACTAGTAGCCAGACAGTTTGGAGGAATACAACACGTGCCAAGAACTTGGGCGGTAGCTGAATATACCGGTCTGTTTAAAGAAGCCAGCTCTTTGGATATGTTAGATGCCATCAGAAATGACTAGAAGCGGCCACTTTTGGTCTATAAGGAAGAGCATCAAAAAGAGTTCTCAATTAGCCCTACATATTCAATATGGAGGAGTGGCAGTTCATCTAAGATACTTCAAGAGGTAAAAGAGCAAAGAAAAGCCCAAGATAAGTCGTCCATGACGTTGGAGCCGAAAAGAAAAAGGGTCAATAATGAGAAAGATCTTCAAGAAGAGTTGGATAAGCTGAGGATTGAGCTTGGTAATAGCAAAAATCATCAAAATTTCCTAGAAAACCAACTTTTGAAAGAAGAAGAGATGAAGGCCTCTCTGGATCAGCAATTGAAGGAAAGAGATGAGCAAATTGTTAAGTTAAAGAAGAATCAGCATGAAGCAAATGAGCAACTGAAGGAGGGGAAGGCCAAGAATGACGAGTTGGTAAAAAAACATGTAATGGTGGAGCACGAATTGGTGAGTCTAAAAAGGTCTTTAGAAAGTAGACAGTCTGCCGACAAAGAGACAATAGCTTCCCTGAAGAAAGAAAGGGACCAGTATAAATTAAAATGGGAAGCTGAAAAAAAGAAGAACAGATTAGCTGATCTCACCATTGAAGAAGAAAGAAGATTAAGAACTCGATATCAGATGCAGGTTAAAGATGAGAGAGAAGCAAGGAGGGTAGCTGAGTTAAACATGAAGGAATACCTGGACAAGATAGATGGTACGAGAAACCGAATGTCTGCAATAAAAGCCAAGCTTGAGTCCCAAGAAGAAGAAGCAAAGGAAATGCAAAAGCAATTTAAGGAATGGCAAGACTATATCGGCAGTTTCGATGCACAACTAAACATTAAGATAGCCGAGCTTGATATAGAGAAGGAAGAATTGCAAAGGGCCAGAAAGTAGATTCAACAGTTGGAAAAGATGGTTCAAATTTTGGAGACAAACAATGAATCATTAGCCGCCAGTAATGGAACATTACTTCAAAATAACACTGTGTTCCATTACAAGATAGAGCAAGCTGACAGGCTAATTGACATGGTGGCTAGGAAGGCAAATGAGCTACGAGTTAAGGCTGTCAGGATTGCCAACAGCCGTCATAGATATGAGGAATATCTGAATGAAGTTTCCTCTTTCATCAAGAATATGGTCAATAGAGGAATATCATTTGAATGAAGACACTTTGTATGAACAATTTTGTAACTTTCATAATGTACGAAATTTAATCAATCAAAGAAATTGGGTAAAACCTCTTTGTGTATTATCAAACTTCAGACTTCGGATATTACCTGTATTTGGCAAAGGAAGTCACGGATTAACTCTTTAATCCATATACATGCATTTACATTCATGTTACGCATTCATTCATTATAACACACATACATACACCAGGTCAAAATATAGGTCCCCAAAGAGCTTACAACACCCGACTTCGAGCAAGGAACATAGAAGATGAAGAGCGTGCTTACCGTGATGCTCGTTTCCAAGAAGAGTTGGATTCCTTAAAAGATAGTGTGTCTCGCCTCACCGGCTTACTTGAGCAAGTACTAAGGAACACCTCGGGTGAAGGTCCTTCAACTAGGCCTGCCCCTCTCCCAGCAAACCAACCTAAAGAAATAATAGGAGAACATGCACAAGAGCCTCAACATACTCCAGCATTTGTGCAGTCAACAACGCCAATACCAACACCTGCAATTGCAGATGCATTTGTTAATAAGTCCCACAAAACCAAGCCATCCGAGGACATTGATCGAGACAAAATGGCAGCATTAGAGGCTAGAATTAAGGCCATTGAGGGAGTAGACTTATATGATCCTATACAAGCTGTAGAAATGTGTCTAGTCCCTAATGTGGTGGTACTAAAGAAATTTTGAGTTCCTAAGTTTATCAAATACACCGGCACTCAATGCCCAGTTACCCATCTCAAATCCTATTGTAATAAAATGGCAAAAGTAGTTCACGATGAAAAGCTACTAATGCATTTCTTCCAAGATAGCTTGAGTGGAGAAGCGTTAAGTTGGTATATGAGGTTAGATAATACCAAGATCCATACATGGAAGGACCTCGTAGATGTTTTCATCAAGTAATACAAATACAACATGGATATTGCTCCTGATAGAACTAGTCTGTCTAACTTGGAGAAAGGAGATAAAGAAAGCATAAGAGAATATGCTCAAAGATGGAGAGATTTGGCAGCACAAGTCCACCCCCTCTCCTAGAAAAGGAAATGGTTGCTCTGTTTGCTAACACGCTAAAAGCGTCATATTATGAACATGTGATGGGTAGTTCAACCCAACAATTCACGGATGTCGTGGCAGTGGCTGAACGAATAGAGCAAAGAGTAAAGAGTGGAAGAATCTCTACACCCGTGGAGAAAAAGGGTTTTGGAGTGAAGAAAAGAGAGATTGATCATGTTGAAAGTAGTTACAGAAGCAAGAAAGGCTCTTTCCAAAGATATACTACTCAATCCTCTCCACCCCAAATTGCCAATACCAATTTCAACTTCTCGAGCCCAGCCAGAAAACTTGAACCCTAAAACCACCAAGTAAAAAACCAAGCCGAGAGTTTCCCCAAAAGGAATTACCAAAGAACCCAAGAACAATTGCCTCCATTGCCTTTACCCCTAAATGAAATGTACCAAAAGCTACTAAGTATTGGGCAAGTAGTCCCTGTGCCTTTGACACCCCTACAACTACCTTACCCCAGCTAGTATAAGTCAGATCTCACCTGCGAATACCATGCCGGTATAGCTAGACACAGTATCCATACCTACAACGCCTTTAGAAGAAAACTTCTGCAACTGATTAAAGCAGGATGGATAGCATTTGAAGATGCCCCTGATGTGAATGCGAACCCTCTACCTAATCATGCTTCAGGTAGTGGGTCTATAAACATGTTAGAAGTGGAACACTCAAACATCATAAAGGTGTCGATGGATAGAATCTACCAAATGATGGTAAATGCAAGGTATAATGAGGGTAGCGAGAAGTGCTGTGAACTGCATAATGTAAAAGGCCATGTGATCAACCATTGTGAGGGCTTTCACAAAAAAATGATGCAAATGATGAGTCTTGGGTTGCTACGAATTGAGAAAGCAACAAGTGGAGAGGTGTCCATGATAGAGGCACCAAATAAAGAGGTGTGTCGAGTATAATTCACTACCGGAAAGCCACCCAAATTGGTCTTATCCAAACCAGTAGTGGAAGATAAAGGGAATTATAGTGTTTTACCTCACAACTATGGGTATCCTTTCAAAAGCACTCTGCAACCGCCCATTTTTCAAGCAGAAATTGGGGGATTGACCCGTAGTGGCAGATGTTTCACTCCAGAAGAGTTGGAAAAACAAAGAAAAGCCAAGGGTAAAGAAGGGGCTGACGTAACTGAGGAAATAAATAAACCTGTCACGGAAGAGGAAACTAACGAATTCTTAAAGCTGATGAAACACAGTGAATATAGTGTTGTTAAACAGCTTAAGAAAACTCCAGCAAGAATATCGTTATTTTCTCTGATTTTAAGCTCTAAGCCACATAGGAAGGCTCTACAAAAGGTATTGAATGAAGCATATGTTCCTCAATACATCAATCAAGAAGCCATGGAACATTTAGTGGGAAGAATCCAAGCCTCAAATTATATATACTTCACTGAAGATAAATTGAGTCCTGATGGTACTAGGCACAACAAGCCATTATACATTACGGTGCGTTGCAAGGATATTCTGATCGGAAAGGTGCTCATTGACAATAGTTCTGCGCTGAACGTCCTACCATTACATATCTTGAAAGAAATGCTTGTCGATGAGTCACATATGAAGCCCAGCACCTTGATGGCGAGAGCATATGATGGTTCGCCAAGACCAATAATTGGGACCCTTAAAGTAGAGCTATATATGGGGCCGCAGATGTTCTTGATAACATTACAAGTAATGGACATTCACCCATCTTACAGCATATTATTAGGAAGGCCGTGGATTCATGCAGCTGAAGCAGTGGCTTCTTCATTGCACCAGTGTTTGAAGTATATCATGAACGGAATGTTGATAACTGTTAAAGCTGAAGAGACAGTTTCCATGATAAAAAATGTGGTCATACCTTTTATTGAAGTAGAAGATTGTAGAGATGGGAATATTCATGCTTTTAAAATTATGAATGCAGCATGGGTTCCTGAAGGCATAGTGCTAAGGAAGCCTAAAATCCCAGAAACAGCAAAGATGGCTGCCAAATGCTTCTTAAAAAAGGGAGCTCCTTTTCAATGTAATCCTGAGACCAGAATGCCTAGCCTGATCAAGCTAAATGACACAAATCAAAGGTTTGGGCTTGGATATAAGCCCAAGAAAGACGATTACAAGCGGGTTACTCAAGTTAAAAGAGAAGCGAGAATGGCGAGGATTGAAGGAAGAGAGCCAGAAGAAGAGGAACTTGTCATCCCACCACTCCAAGTATCTTTCCCAAGGGTTGCAGAAGTGATTAGATCTGACATAATGGATCTCCACATCAATACCCAAGAAAGCCAAGAAGAAAAACGAATAGAGGAAGTAGATTTGGAGATGAAGGATGAAGTGTTGCCACAACTCTCCATTCACACCATTGATGAACCTCCTGCTAGATTTTTCGTGCGAAGATTGGCTGAAGGGGAGGTGTACCAGAATTGGAAGACGGAGCATACTCCTATTGTGTTTAAAAAGTAATTGTTCTTGTTTGATAATGCTCGGACTTATTTTGTCTTGTTTTGACTTGTGCTGATCTTGTCGGTATTTTAGCTCATAGTACCGCAAAATTTTCTATGTTAACCAAGCACTTTCATTTTAATGAGATCATGCATTTTCTTGTGTCCAAAGTGTGCCTGCATCTTTTATCTTTTCATGAATCACACTTACACGAGCACGCATTGCACTTTCAGGAATCCTGAAAGTTCCATCGATTCACAAAACCATTGCGCTAAGAATAATTGGCCAAACTTTGATAATATGATTGCAATGGATGATGAAGAATGGGGGGAGGAAGATATAAGAGAGTTTACTAAGCTGGTAGAAAGTTCAGAAAAAGCCTGGGAACCGGCTAGTGAGAAACTAGAAGCCATTAACGTGGGAGACAAACAAGAAAATAAGGAATTAAAGATTGGCACTCTTGTTACAACAGAAGAAAGAAATAGACTAGTTTCTCTATTACACGAGTATGTAGATGTTTTTGCTTGGATTTATACAGATATGCCTGGTCTAAATATTGATATAGTGGTACATAAGATTCCTTTAATAGAAGGAAGCAGGCCAATTAAGCAAAAAACCAGGCGAATGCGCCCGGACATGTTACTCAAAGTAAAATCTGAGGTACGAAAACAGTGGGATGCAAGGTTTCTAGATGTAGTCCAATATCCACAATGGGTAGCCAATGTGGTCGTAGTCCCAAAAAAGGATGGAAAGATTCAGGTGTGTATGGACTATAGAGACTTGAACAAGGCGAGCCCAAAAGATGATTTTCCTTTGGCCTATATAGACATTCTCGTTGATAATGCTACAAGAAATGCTACATATTCTTTTATGGATGGATTCTCTGGTTATAATCAAATTAGAATGGAAGAAGAAGATAAAGAGAAGACCACTTTTGTCATACCTTGGGGGACATTTTGCTATAAAGTAATGCCATTCGGTTTGAAGAATGCTGGAGCCACATATTAAAGAGCAATGGTTACCCTGTTCCACGATATGATGCACCGAGAAGTGAAAGTTTATGTAGATGACATACTTGCAAAATTGAAGAAAGAGGAAGATCATGTGCAAGTGTTAAGAAGACTATTTGAAAGGCTGCGAAAATTCCAGCTAAAGTTGAATCTTGCAAAATGCTCATTCGGGGTGAAAACAGGAAAACTATTGGGCTTCATAGTAAGTGGTCGAGGAATAGAAGTTGATCCTGATAAAGTTAAAGCTATTCAGGAGATGTCTACCCCTAAGACAGAAAAGGAGGTAAGAAGTTTCCTCAGGCGCCTGAATTACATAGCTCGGTTTATATCCCAGTTGACGGTGACTTGTGAACCAATTTTTCGTTTACTCAGGAAGAAGAATCTGGGAGTATGGGACAACGATTGTCAGGAAGCCTTTGATAAAATAAAAAGGTACTTGCAAAATCCACCATTATTAGTACCTCCAACACTAGGGAGGCCTTTGATTCTATACTTAACAGTAACAGAAACAACTATGGGCTGTGTGCTGGGACAACATGATGAGTCAGGAAGGAAAGAGCAAGCTATTTACTACTTGAGTAAAAAATTCAATGATTGTGAGTCGAGATATACAACAATTGAGAGGTTATGTTGTGCTTTGGTTTGGAGTGCGAAAAGACTCTGGCAGTATATGTTGTACTACACAACCTGGCTGATTTCAAAATTAGACCCGCTCAAGTATATTTGTGAAAAACCTTACCTATCAAGTAGAATAGCAAGGTGGCAAGTGTTGTTGGCAAAATATGACATTGTCTTTATGACAAGAAAAGCTGTCAAAGGAAGTATAATTGCTGATCATCTTACAGACCATGCCATGGAGAACTATGAGCCGCTAAACTTTGACCTCCCCGATGAAGAGGTGATAGTAGTCGAAAATAAAAGTGGGGAAAGCGATCAGTGGACCCTCTACTTTGATGGGGCAGTAAATGTATCAGGAAATGGGGCCGGAGCCGTAGTGATTTCCCCAGAAAATAAGCAGTATCCTGTTTCAACAAAGTTACTGTTTGAATGTACCAATAACACTATCGAGTATGAAGCCTGCATCATTGGCCCGGAAGCTGCTCTGGAACTTAAGGCCAAGAAGCTTGAGGTCTTTGGGGATTCCTTACTAATCATCTGCCAAGTAAAAGGCGAGTGGCAAACTAAGGAGGAGAAGTTGAAGTTGTATCAAATTTATCTCTTGAAGTTAGCCGATGAATTTGAAGAAATCAAATTCACTCATATAAGCAGAGATAAGAATCAGTTTGCTGATGCCTTAGCAACCTTAGCTTCAATGACACAAGTTGATACTAAAAGCAAGATCCAACCAATAGATATCGAAGTCAGAAGCTTCCAAGCCCATTACTACTTAATTGAAGAATCACCAGATGGGAAACCATGGTACAATGACATCAAGAAGTTTCTCCAGCATTGAGAATATCCTGAAGGGATTTCCAAGAAGGATGAAAAGACTTTGAGAAGAATGACCATGAATTTTTACTTGGATGGGGAAATTTTATATAAAAGGTCATTTGACGGGACTTTGCTCAGGTGTTTGAATGAAAATGAGATTGAACAAACACTAAAGGAAGTTCATGAGGGGATCTGTGTTACGCATGCTAATGGGCATACAATGGCGAAACAAATACAAAGGTCTGGATACTTCTGGTTGACCATGGAGAGAGATTGTGTAGACTATGTCAGAAAATGCCATAAGTGTCAAATATATGGCGACAAAATAAATGCGCCTTCAGCACCTCTGTTCAATATGATCTCGCCTTGGCCTTTTGATATGTGGGGTTTGGATGTTATAGGGCCAATTAATCCTAAAGCGAGCAATGGGCATAGATTCATTTTGGTGGCCATCGACTACTTCACCAAATGGGTAGAAGCCAACTCTTACGCCCATGTAACGCAGAAAGTAGTTAAGAGGTTTATTGAAAAGGATTTGGTCTATCGTTATGGTTTGCCAGCAAGATTGGTAACTGACAACGCCCAGAATTTCAATAGGAAGCTGATTGACGAATTGTGCACCAAATGGAAGATTAAACACTTCAATTCCTCCCCTTATAGACCAAAGATGAATGGGGCAGTCGAAGCAGCTAACAAGAATCTCAAGAAGATCATCCAGAAAATGGTGGTCACCTACAAGGATTGGCATGAGATGCTCCCATATGCACTTCATGCGTACCGTACCACGGTTAGAACTTCTACAAATGCCACCCCATACTCTTTAGTATATGGAATGGAGGTGGTGGTGCCCTTAGAAATAGAAATCCCATCACTACGGATCCTGAAGGATGCAGAACTGGACGAATCAGAATGGACAAAGTCAAGATTTGAGCAACTAACCTTAATCGATGAGAGAAGACTAGCAGCTATCTGCCATCACCAGTTATACCAAAGCAGGATAGCAAAAGCTTACAACAAGAAGGTCAAACCAAGAGTGTTCAAGGAAGGGGATTTGGTGTTAAAGAAGATCCCACTAGCATCAGGAGAAGATCAAAGCAAGTGGGCACCAAACTACGAAGGGCCATATGTAGTGAAAAAGGCTTTTTCTGGAGGGGCTTTAATTCTGACTACTATGGATGGAAGGGATCTACCAAGACCTGTAAACTCAGATGTTGTAAAGAAGTACTACGCCTGATGTATTTACCCTTGTCAATCAATGAAATTGAAGTTTGGCCAAGATTTCTATAGTGTGTTTCCCCTAAAATTATGCATGATCTCATGTTTTGATAAAGATTTTTGGGAATTCAAAGTCTTAGTACAAAACTAAAGTCAATTTGATGTTTGTTCTAATAAACAAGTTCTAAAAATTCAAGTGATATCCTGACACTAAAAAAAAAGAAGAAAAAAAACCCTGAAAGACAACTCAAGCACCATGAAATAACTTCAAAGCTGAGTTTTGATTGCATGAATAATGAGAAATTGTTTTACATATTCGTATGTAGGAAAGCAAAGCTTGACGATTCCAACTGCATGCATTTGAAATGAAGAAAGGCCATCTTTGATAACTCTTTCTCAAATTCTAAAAAATCCCTTGAAGTCCCCTTTTGAGCCTAATACATTTTGTTGAAAAAATAACATTGGCTAGAATCACACCCTATACTGGGGGGCAAGTGCAAAAACAAAAAATCCTTAATGACTAAAAATGCCCAAACAACCCTGGGGGGCATGAAAAAGTCATCAACAATAAAGGTGCCCAAACAAAGCTGGGGAGCATGAAAGAGTTCCAAAAGATCTGAGTGTGCCAAAAAAAATTGATAATATAATGATGCTCAAAACCAAAGGAAAAGCCTAACATTGGGGGGCACCGTGGACCATTTTGCAAAATCAATTCTAAGGTCCAAAAATGTATGAACAAAAAAGTTTGGGATATAAGCATTAATGATATTTAGTCTTAAAGTCCCTTAAACACCTTTTAAGCCTACAAATATCCTTTTATTCATAACCAATAGCCTAAGCCTACATTACGTGCCTAATCAAGCCCTTTCTAATCAATGACAAACAATCTAGATCGGTAGGCAGTGCTTTCTCATGCGGAAGAAAATCATTATTCATGCAAATAAAATGAATGCTTTGAAAGATGGTTCCTAATAACCCTCAAATTGAAATTTCAACCTTTTGTGACCAACCAAATGTCTTCATATTTTTCACCAAATATCAAAACAAAAAGTTTTCATCACTTCTGAAAACCTCTCCATTGGAATCACTTGAATTTCTTCAGAATGAGTTTGCTTTGAATCGATGTCAAAATGATTTCTATGTCTGGAATAGCTTTGAAATTCCAAAAACTCTGCAAGAAAACAACTCCTTGTCAAAGACCAAACCTCCCTTCACCTAGCCTCATCCTTAGACCTGATCTGAATACTTGGGGGCATGATCAAGCCGGAGGACAATTCGCCAAAACGCATAGGGTTGGCTCCATGATGGAGTTTTAAGAAAATAGAAAATGTTGGGTTGAGCTGGAAACCCCTTCAGATAAAGGTTTGAGGGATAAGATGTATATCATATATCCTACCCGAGGGTCAAGATCACAAGATACGACTCGAGTAAGCAAGAGTGAAAATAGTCATTAAAGCTTACTATCAAACACTCCAACTTTTGAGAAAAGAAGGACATCATGAAGAAATGGGGACCTATATTTCTCAGGTAAATATACATGCATATTGATCATATTGCATTGCTTTCAATATTGTCAGACCGGTTTCACCATCACCTTTTTGGGTAGTGTGTTTTCTAACCCAGCCTCCATTTAAGTGCGCCTTAGAACTCTCAACCACCTTAGGTAATGCATTTTCTAACCCTACCTCTTTTCTACTTTGCCTTTGAACTCTCACCTCTTATGTAATGTGTTTTTTAACCCTACCTCCTATCAAGTGTGCTTTTTATCCTTCATTTCCTTTCGAGTCCTATCTCTTTTCGAACGCTTCGTCGAGCTTCCATTGCTCGAATAGTGCACCTTCGAGTCCTATCATGTTGCCTCTTCAAGATATTCCATGTTTTTGCCTGGGTCGGTCACCTACTACCATACGACCACTCTCCCTTTTCTACCTGGGCAGGTCGTCCATTGCAACAAGACCTCCTTGAAAAATCTCTGTATTTCTCACCACTTTGAAAAATCTTCGTATTTTTCACCACTTTGAAAAATCTCTATATCTTTCATCTCTTTGAAAAATCTTCATGTTTTTCACCTGGGTAGGTCGCCCGTCACAACAAGATCACTTTGAAAAAACCTTTGTATTTTTCACTATTTTGAAAAAAAAGAGAAAAAAAAAAAGGCCTCTAAAAAGTTTTTGTGTTTTTCACTTGGGTAGGTCACTTATCACAATCAGACCTCTTCGAAAACTCTTTTCACCTGTTATTTGGGCCGGTTGCTCATTATAATGAAACCATCTTTTAAGAAACCCTTTCGTTTCTCACCACCTCTAAAAACTTCCATTTGGGTCGGTTGTCCATTACAATAAAACCGTTTTGAGAAATCATCATATTTTTCACCACTTTAAAATCTTCATATTTTTTTTTCACTTGGGCAGGTCACCAACACAACAAGACCACTTTGAAAATTTTTGTATTTTTGAAAAAATCTTTGTATTTTTCAAACCCTTTCACTTGGGTAGGTCACCCAACACAATAAAACCTCTTTAAAAAAATCTTGGTATTTTTCATCATTTAAAAAAAAATCTCTCCCAGTTTTTACCCTGGGTATGCTTTCTAGCCCTCATAAGGATTCATTATTTCCCAACATGATGAGTCAACCATTTCCTATCCTTCTTTTTCAACTTTACAGCGCTTCCTATCTAAAGTCTCTAACGAGACTTTCTATTACAAACCTTGTAAAGAGGGGGGCAACTGTTATAACCCAATTCTGGGTAATTCCCCAAAATTCACTTTTTTTTTCAAAATAAAAAAAATAAAATAAAATAAAGGCTAGCAATGTGGAGAAAGCTGATCTAGAAAGACCGCAAAAATAGGCAAAAATCAAACAGCAATTTTCGGAGGAGATTCAAAACCTATCAGCGCCCTATTTTGCCCAAAATTGGAAAAAATGCAAATTTGAAGTCAAATTAAATGATTATTGGAAAAATTTGCATAAAAATTAAACCCCATAACATAATTAAATTTTAATAGGCCAATTTGATTCAATCATGGGCCAAATTAAATTTTAATTATGTTTAAGAATTAATTTAGGACCAAATGAAGGATTTAATTAAGTGCAAGGACTTAATTATACTTTAAATGGGTCAAATTAATTTTATTTGAGGCTTAATTGGTAAAAACAATTAAGTTTGGGAGCCTAATTTGGGCTTAATTAAGAAGATTGGAATTTTAAGAGACCAAATTTAATTTTTACCAAGTTAATTGATTGAAATCAGGGGCCAAATTGAAAGAAAATTGAAGTTTTGGGGCCAATTAGGGATTAAATTGACAAAATCCAAAGTCAAAGACTAATTTGTAAAAGGCGTCGAACTATAGGCGTCTAATTGACAAAATCCGGGGGTTAAATTGAAGAAATTGAAATTTTAATGGTCAATTAGGGATGAAATTGCATAAATCCGAGACCAAGGACCATATTGCAAGAGGCGCGTAAATATGGGGCTGAAGTTGAAGTTAAGCCGGGACCAAATTGCATTAAATCAGAAGTTTATGGTTAATTAGGGATTTGATTGAAAGAAATTGAAAGCTGGAGGACCAAATTAAACATCAACAAATCCTTAATTTTAACCCAAAACGGCGTCGTTTTTGGGATTTAAAAAAAAAAACCAAGTGACGCGCATCTTCCCTGAAAAGCTGCCCAAGTGACGCGTCGCTTGGATACTGTTCATCATCTTCCCCGAAAAGCTGCCCAAGTAGCAGCTTTCCAGGCGCATGTTCTTCCTCGTTTGGCCACCAAATCCGACAACGCGTGCACCACCATGTCCACCTGCAACCCCTTTATCTTGGAAAATGGTTTGGTCGGGTCAAAAAACTTTTAAGCGGCTCCGTTTATTGGCCCAAATTGGCCATCTCGGGCAGCCTGCAGCTCTGGATTTGCCAAATTTAGCAGTTCGAGGTGCACACTTTGAGCCAACGGTTTGGATTCCAAGAGTCGAATCAAGGGCTGAGAATTTTTTCCCTTTGAAGACGAGATTACCCTTTTTCCATCCCTATAAATAGGAGCAAATTGCATGCTCGGGGGAGGAGAAAATCGAACCCAAAGTTGGCCAAAAATCAACTTTTCTGCCCGTATTTCCTGCAACCAGCCCCTTCCCCTTGTTTTTTTTTCTCTCCCTCGTGGCCTCCAGCCACCACCACTAACCTCGCCGTCGTCGTTCCCGTGAAACACCACACCATCATCCCCACCTCCAGAAGCCATAAAACCACCTCACCGAAGCTTGCAACACCTCTCTCTCTCTCCATTACAAGTTTTTTCTTCTTCTTCTTCTTTTTCTTCCTCCGACCGGCCTCCACCACTGCAGCAACCAGCTCACACCGCCGGCTTCACCACCTCCAGTCACATCGCGCACCATCAGCCAGGCCGCTGACTCTCTCCACGCCAGGTAATTCTCTTCTCCCTGCTCCACCCTTTTCCTTCTTTGTTCCTCATAGCCACTGCATGCAAAATTCATTTCTGCATGTAGTGGCTAATTAATTAGCCATCTGCTTGGGCCGGACTAGTTCGAGCCCAACCCAAGAAGCTGGGCCAAGCCCGACCCAAACCTAAGAGTCCTGGGCCAAAAACGGCCCAACCCATTTTAGGTCGATTTTGGCCCACTTTTCATGGGCTGAGCCTGGCCTAGCCAACTAGGCCAGCCCAACCCATAGGTTTTTAATATTTAATAATATTATATTAATTCAAATTGTTTTTTAAAAAAATCATTTCAATTTTTTTTTATTTTCTTAAACATTTTTCTGCCAAGTTTACTTAATATTGGGTTGTATATTTCAAATTTTTTTTTTATTTTCTTAAACATTTTTCTGCCAAGTTTGCTTATTATTGGGTTGTATACTTACATGCTAAGATAGAAGTCCGATATTAAAATACCCGGTTTTCATTGAAATGTTCAAAAAAAAATCAAAAAAAATATATAAATAAATAAAAAAGGAAAAAATGTTTTATTGCATACGGTCAAATCCTAAAGAATTTTTCAAGCATGTTTCAAA